CACACCCAGACAACCCGTCCCCCCCCCAAACCAGAAGTTTATCGCAGATTCGGGGTCCTCTCGCCGAGCACAGGAGGACCTTGCCTTCAAAAAAAAAAAAAAAAAAATTCTGGGCTGTTTTTATGCCCGCCCGGTTTGCCCAGGCGGCCCACCCGGCCACTCAGAAAAGAAATGAATAAACTTGAGAGGGGGAAGAGACAAGGAAGGAAAAGAAGAAGATGTACATTGTACACCAGCAAAAGACCAATATCAACTCCCCTTTCACTCACCAACCCACTCCTCCTTATCACCCCTTCTTTTATTCAAGCAATAAATTATAGTAATAACAATGATGAATGGCTGAACCAGAATCAATCTCCATATCCCTCTTCTACTGTGTGGCATAACCAGAGGTCCACCGTAGCCATAGCCTCCCTCTTCCTTCTCTTCAACCAGGCCGAGGTTATGGCCGACTGCTAAGGGCCTAGCCCTGACGTGCACAAGACAATGCAAAGCAGCTATGTCCGCTGCTTCTCAGGCCACCATGCCTGATTCTGCCTTGAAGCCTTCTTGGTGCGGCACTACCCCCACTGGGGCCTTCCATATGCAGTGCCTGACAAGGTGATGAAGATGGCATCCACCATAACCCAAGTACCCCGCCACTCTCCTCCTTCGTCCCCTTCGTCCTCCTCCTACTACCGGCGATGCTCCACCATAGCTGAGGTGGGAGCTCCCGGTCCTCTTCCTCCTCCCCAGAGCTGCTACACCCAGCGCTCTTCCTCCAGCGGCGCTCTGAGAACCAGCGCCCTCTCAAGCAGCATGACACCTAACCTTGCATACCGCAAATGAGGAAGAGCACGACGCTCTTCCTGGAGATACAGTGGCCTACCTGCCTCTTCGGCGGTGACTTCCAGGCCGCGCAACGTCCAAGCAACCAGTACCTCCTCCATTTTGGAGGGAAACATCATTCCAGGCTCTGATATTGTCCGCACAGGCCCTAGACTCAGGCTACTTGGACTGGTACCCGCCTAGACCTACGCCTACCACTACTGGGCCTCTAAAAATACTAACTTTTTTGTCTTCTTCTGCTAGGCCTACCGCTACTCAAGTGCTACCGGTGCCGACACTACACTACTTGAGTGTGCCCTAAGCTACCCTCTTCCCCACTGCAACCCTCAGAGTCATGGTCACAGATAAGTGTCAGCCCCGCAGGCCTCCGAAACAAACGAGTGCCCTGGCGGGCCACACACACTCAGGCCGACAAGCACTCACACAGGCACACAAACCAGCAACCACACACACACACAGACTTTGAAAACTCAGCAGAACACAGGAATCTCAGCAAGGCATACATTCCAGCCGCAAAACTTAGAAATCAGCAGTGTTTTCAGTCTGTGTTCTGGCAGGGCATTACAAGGGCCTGCAATGCAATGACATTTCCCTCCGAAACGGGGAAGGTACCAATAGCTTGGGAGGTTGCGCAGCCTGGAAAGTCAATGTTCGAAGAGGCAGTAGGCCGGAAAATCTTCAAGAAGAGGGAAGAGCTCTTCCTCATTGCCGTGTGCAAGTTCGGGGACACGCTGCTTGGGAGAGCGCTGGGTGGAGCAGCGCTGAGGAAGGGGAAGGCGAGCTTGGCCTCCCACCTCAGCTATGTTGGAGAGGACCACGGAGGAGATCGTGGGAGGTACGAGGAGGAGGAAGACATCGGGCAAGAAGGAGGGCGACGGGGGAAGCTTACCTGGAGGGACATAGTAGCTTTGCATTGTCCAATGAGCATCGAAGCTTCACTCCGACAGTCCGCCATAGCCACCTGATCAACATAGTAGGGGGAAGATGTAGGCAATGGCTATGGTGGACCCCTTGAGTGGCTGGCAGTGATTCGGACATTAGTTCTTTCTTTCATTGATGTTATTACTATTATTGCTACAGGTTGCCGGAAACTAATGTCCAAATCCTCTCCTTACTGTTACTGAGAATCTGGCTCTTTCTTTCATTGATATTATTACCATTATTGTTAAGAAGAAGTTGGGGAAGTAATTGGAAGATGGAGATGGCGGCAAAATGAGGGGGATTGACACTGGTCTTTGATGGTGTTCATATTCTTCTTCTCCTTCCATTTTCATTTCTTCTTTGTCCTTTGTCTATTTCTCTTCCAAAGTTCTTTCATTTCAGTTGCAATTGAACACCATTGTCTTTCTTTTAATTGTTACCCTTCGAGATGGCCAGGATCATAACCTTGTGTTTCCATGAACTATTGATGAACAGACCTGAGTTCAAAATCTTGCGGAGTAACTCTGGGGCCGGTCTGTTCATGATGATACCTCAAGGCCGTCGCCCTCTTACACTTCAGATTCACATACATGTGCGCACTGCAGACACATCTGGGCCAATGCAAATCCTCACAAGGTTTCGCTTCATGCAAAAGCAATAGATCATCAATTGCCAGCAATGACAGAAGGCCACCAATGGATAGGAAGTGACCCAAGTCTGGCGTGTAATGTCATGTGCATATGCTATAAGACAAGTGTCTAAAGCAGCACTTGCACAACAGGGAAAAGTCAAATGCACAAGGGCAGAGTCACAGTAGCACTTTCCTTGGTTTATTCCAACAGTGCTAAAGCCAGATTCAGTCGAAAATGTCCTTGTGTTATGATCCTGTCCAATTTTGAAGTACACATTCATGAGAAAGCACAATGCCGCCCAATTGCAAAAAGAAATAAATGAACTTGAGAGGAGAGAGAGGGAAAGAAGAAGAAGAAGAAGAAGAAGAAGAAGAAGAAGAAGAAGAAGAAGAAGAAGAAAGAAAGAAAGAAAGAAAGAAGAAGATGTACACCAGCAAAGACAAACCCTTCTTCTCGCCAACCAGTCTCCTCCTCCTTTTCTCCTCCCCTCTTATTCAAACAATAAATAACAATAATA